GCCCAGATAAAGTTACAATATTGTATATATGGTAACACAAGCGTGCAGTATAGTGATCGACGTGCTGTGGCTGAAATTAATGACTTAATTTTATTTATAACACCAATGGATAATATGGCTTCCAATCAATAATATGGCAACCAATTGATATGTGGCTTCCAATCAAGATTTTCATGAATATGAACACTAAGGAATGTTATAGAACTAACCTGTTCGATGAGTTTGTTATCTATCTTAATATCAGTTGTTTTTGTGTACTACTTGTTTCTAGCACAGAAAATAATACATTTGGTTTTCTTCAGATTTAATGAAAGTTTGTTTGATTTAAACCAGGTGGCTATAACACTGAGCTCTTGGTTTGTAATCTGTATCAGTTTAGTAAGGTCTTTCCCTGAAGAAAAGAGACTGGTGTCGTCTGCAAACAGGATTATTTTTAACAGAGAAGAGCAGTTAGAAATATCATTCACATATATAAGGTCCAAGTATGGACCCCTGAGGAACTCCGCAAACGATAGTTTTATGCGTTGACAGTATATTATTGAATTTAATGAATTGTTTCCTATTAGAAAGGTAATCTGAGAACCAAAGTAATGTGTTCCTTTTATCCCATAGTGACTAAGTTTCTCGATAAGAATTTTGTGGTTCACAGTATCAAATGCCTTACTTAAATCAATGAATACACCTACAGAAAATTCTTTTTTATCAATTGAGTTTGAGAGGTTATCAATTAAGTCCAAAACTGCCATAAAGGTTGAATGATTTTTTCTGAATCCAAACTGATTATCAGAAAGAATGTTGTGTTTAGTAAGATATTTTATGAGTCTTACATAGACAACTCTTTCAAGAATTTTAGAAAAAATTGGGAGTATTGATATGGGATGATAGTTAGAGAATTTCTTGTTGTCATCAGCTTGAAAATGGGGAGCACTTTGGCAACTTTAAGTTGGTCAGGTACTCTGCCCGACTCCATTGATATATTGAAAATGTATGAAAGAATGGATGCAAGTGGCTCTGCAGCCTGTTTGATTACAAAAGGATCTAGACAGTCTGGACCTGGTGATTTATTAGGATTAAGATCTCTTATTATAGCAAATATTTCATTATCATCAGTTCATTATCATCAGTAGGGTAGAATACAAAGGAGTTGGGGTAAGACCCTGTTAAGAACTGAGTGAATTTTGTTTGAGTATATGGAATTTTAGAAGCAAGGTTAGTACCAACATTTACAAAGTAATCATTAAAGGTATTGGCGATCATTTCAGGATTTGTGATATCGCTATTGTTATGGGTAAATGAATTGGGATAATTGAGCTGAGGTTTAGATTTATTTAATAGTTCTTTCAAAGTTTTCCAAGTAGCTTTAATGCTGGTTTTAACAGATTTGAATTTATGATTATAAAAATGTTTTTTAGCTATCCTGAGAAGATGATTATAAGTTTATTCCTGTATATTTTGTACTTTTGGTCATATTTGGCTGTCCTATTTTGCAGGAATTTGCTGTAGAGTTTATTTTTAAATTTGATAGATTTAATTAATCCCTGTGTTATCCAGGGCTTTCGGGATTGGTGTTTTGTTAGTTTAACCTTTGTTAATGGAATATGCTGATTATACAAGGTATTAATGTGATCAGAAAAAAGGGTATATATAGGCAGAGTTTGGGTCAGATGTGGAGAATACTGAACTCTATTCGTATGACCTTAAAGAGTCCAAAAATCTATTCACATTCTCCCTTGTGTTATTCCTTTTATAAATAAAGGGAGGGGATCTTGGTTTGGGCATATTCACATCCATGATAGAGAAGATGGGAAGATGATCAGAGATGTCAGTAAGTAGGATACCAGATGAAAAAGACTGGGTATAGTTGTTGGAAAATATATTATCTATCAAAGTTGCAGAATAGGTAGTGATTCTAGTTGGCCTAAATATAGAAGGACATAGGGAGTGAGACAACATTATTTCCAAAAAATCACTGGTTAGGTTGCATATTTCAGTATTTAGTAAATTTATGTTGAAGTCACCCATAATGTGAACAGATTTATTAGAGCTCCCAAGGCCACCCAATGTATTTTCAACATAGTCATTAAATTTCTTAATATCACCATTTGGTGGTCTATATATTACTCCAATTATGGTACTGGACTTGTCAAATTTCATCTCAACAAAAATTGATTGACAAACATTATCATCATTGATTTCAAGGTCATTTAATCTGTTGAAATTAAGGTTTTGGTTTAGATATAAACCCACTCCACCACCATGGCTATCACTACGACTGCAAGATAGAAGTTTATAATCATCAATATTATAAAAAGATAAATCACAGTCACTTGGTATCCAGTTTCAGTGATTCCAATAACTGGGAAGGGGAATTTTAGTAGGTTTAGATAGTTGGTAATTTTGTCAAAGTTGTGTGAAAGACTACGTGCATTAAGATGCATAAGTGAAAAGGCATTAGGGTTTGAAGAGAATTTAGTTTTGAACCTTTCTTCATTAAAATATTCAGAGTCATGGTTTACATTATTCCAAAAACCATGACCAGCCGACAATTTAAAAAAAATAAAGTAAAAAACAAATTCCGAAAATACAGGACATCTTGAGAATTCAAGGTGAGCAAAACCAATCAACTGAGTTATGGTGTAAGGCAATGTGATCGTCTCTGCTGAATGTAGTGCATTTTAGATGAACCCACTTCTTACACATATCACAAAGTATTGCTTTCTGATTAACTTGGACATATTTGGCACAAGCACTACAAGATTGCTTCGCCACTATTATGGAATAGAGAAAAAAGGAGAAAGAAGAGTCGCTAGTGTAATTATTCTAACGACTTAAGTTAATATGAGTATGAGTGATCTTATTATTCAAAGTTCATACCATATCATGTAAGCTTATTAATGATATTAAGTTTAAAAATTTGATTATATATTGAAGTAATTATGTTTTGACGATTGTCGATACATTATGACAAGATTTCATAGTATATATATCATAAAATTTTATCATAATTATATAAATATAGATAATTATATAAATTTTGTTTTGTAATTTATAGACAGAAGTATTTATATAATTTTGAGGATAGTCAATAAATTGTGAGAAAAAAAATATATACCAGTATTAACGGGTCATACTAATTACCGTCAAAAACCGCCAAAAGCTGTCAAGAACCATCAAAAGCCGTCAAAAACCGTCAAAAGGCCGTCAAGAACCGTCAAAAAGCCGTCAAAAAGCCGTCCATAGACGGTGAAGATACAAGCATTGAAAAATCAATAACAAGCGTCAAAAATCAAATATCCCTAAAATCTTAACTTAATTAGTAATATAATGCTAGTCTTTGTGGTCATGATTTGTTTCATATCTTTTTATTGTGTTTTAAAAATTGAAACAATTAAATCAAGGTTGCATGTTGTACTATATTGCTGTATATACGTATGTGGTTATACGTATATTTACCTCGCTATTAACTATAGTTTTAGTGGTGTTTGTTGGGTTATTTGTCATTAACTATATTATTTCGTACCAAGATTAGTCAAACTACAGGACGGAAAATTTCATCAATATATCAATGTTAACAATAGCCGTCACGTTAATCACTTTTTCACAATAGACAATGGTTCCCAAAAATGCATGGAATTTGTTACAAAAGTCATTTGTCTGTTCATATGTAAATTTGTATTTGTTTTTCTGTAACCCAACCACTTTATTAGTCATAACTGTTTTTTAAAAAAACATAACATATTCGATATCACTGGTTTCTTTTTCTTATGTAAAGTGATGCGTAGGCAGAATTTTTTGCACTATAAAAGAATCTGCAATCATAGTTTGATTCTTTTGATTTGTCATTCTGAGAGTTAACTACAGAATTGAGTTCACCTGCGAAAGTCTATCAGTATTACCTATACACGTTATCATCATGGTTGGAAAAGAGCAAATTCGTAAAGTGAAAGGAATGCGTGCTGAATGGCCATGTGCCACTTGTGCTGAAGACTGTGTCGATGGTGCAATTTTCTGCGAGAATTGTTGCAAGTGGCAACATTATGCCTGTGAAAACCTGAGCGAAAGTCAGTTCAAAGAGCTTTCCAGTGTTCCTTCACTAGCAGCAAAAAAGAACTAATCAAACACTCTAAGCAAATGAATTGGTTCTTCTTTGCTACTAGTAGCCAATCAAAGACTTTGTTTACAAATCCGGATTTGAATTTCAACTTGCAATTTGATCACGTCGGTTGCAACTTGCTCAGAGCATGGATAATAAAATAAATAATAATAATAATAAAATAAATTTATTTTATTATCCATGCTCAGAGTAATCTCGCAATTAAAATTGCAATATTTCCAACAATATTGCAATATTCAGGGGAACTGCAGAACATCCGGTTTGACTGTAACACGACAACAGCAACATACACTCGAAAAACTCACTCATGCATGTTTTTTTCCAAATTGCACTCAAAACCATATACAATTTTTTTGAAAATATATAGTTCTGATTTTTAATGCTATACTTCATGTGATTGTACAATGGTCAATGCAATAAAATATTATTTCAAGAATTTGCATCATTAAAGTATCTGGATATTTATTATATACTGACAAAGACAAGATAGCTAGTATATTTAAATCAAAGAGATTATACCAGATAAATTATTCTTTGTTACTTTTATACGATCGCTATAACTTATATGTACCAGTAAGACTTTTTGACGGCCTTTTCACGGGTTTTGACGGTTTTTGACGGCCTTTTGACGGTTTTTGGCGGCTTTTGATGGTAATTAGTACGACCGGTATTAACCTAGGCACACAAATTGATTAACCTAAACACACAAATTTAGTCAATACAAAATAGTTAATACAAGTAGAGTTTGAATACCTCTTTATGCAATTACTTGGTTGGGGGAAGCTTGACTAAATCCTTCGGGTGTTCAATTATGATTTTGTTTTGGCTTCCATTTAGAAGGCATATAATTCTACCATCCAGGGTCCATGTTGTTGCTACTGCTGGATTATTGAATTATATCCAGTAGTTGTTGCCTTTGGGCAGTTAGGCTTTCAGATAGGCTTACTCCACATCCCTTTAGTCGCCTTTTGACTTTAAATACTTCAGCTCTCTTATTGTAGGAGCTAAATTTTACAATGATGGGTTGAGGCCGACTTTGATTCCGTTTTTTGGTGTTTAATCTATGCGATCTGTCCAGATCAGATTTGTTGATTGGTATGTTAAGCTTTGTGTTGAACAGGTTCACAGCGATATTATCGGTATCTTCCCCCTTAACTTCAGCAGCGCCATGTATAAGTATGCAATTTCGGCGGCCATATTGGTTGATGCTGTCTAATTCATCAATCTGTTTGAGCTGATTATTTTCAAGATCGGCCACCAATTTTTCAAGTTTCGCGTTAAGTTCGGAGTACTTATCCTGTAGGCATTTCTGGTCATAAGATAGACTTTCATAGACTTCTTGCTTGGCTGACTCACCGATTTTTATTTACAACGGATTCGATTATATTTTCGTCTTTGACGAGTTTTTCCGTCACAACATTTATAAATTCCTCGGATTTAATAACAAGGTCCACAAATATGCTGGAAAGCGCTTCAGCAATCTTAGATATTAGATCTTGGTCGGTAGAGAATAGTTTAAACAAATGTGATTTGATGTCGTCACCTTCCGTCGCCATCTTGCCTTTCGAAGTTTGGCCTCGAGTGACACTCGTTTTTTAACAAAAACTTACTTCCGAGTACGTAATTTGTAGGAAATATCGTCAATTGTAATGAAATAATAAATTGGACAGTCAATAGCGAGTATATTTTGGTAGCTGATGGCTGATTTAGTTCATGGTATTAAACTTTGTTGAGGAGCTCAGTAGGCACAACCGACAGCCATGACAGCTCGACACTGGACATGCTGCTTCACCAATGGCATTATGTTCCTCAAATGCAGATAGGCCAAGCTTGTTTTTATTTAAATTGTTGTTTCCATCTATAATTGATGGGAAAAAATAATCTGTTGATACTATACCAGAGGGATACCAATAAGTTTTGCAAATCCTACAGTAAGAAGTATGTTACTTTTAGTATTGTTGTTATCTACTTGCGGTTTTAGTATTGAGTTATTGCTAATTCGCCAATGGCATCATGTTCCTCGAATGCAGATAAGGCCGTCTTGCCTTCCATTAAACTGTTTTCAAATTCAGTAGTTGTGCTTCCCATCTAAAGTTGATTGAAAAATGTTTCTATAGATATTATAGCTTGTATTGTATTGTCTAAATCGGATGCACCAAAAGGCAAGGCCATGTTGAAATGCAATGTATGTTGTAAATCCTGCAACTGGAATTTATTTCTTAAATTTGGTCATGGCAAGTGACTATGATTTGCAGACTGCCTGCATCGTTTTTGCTGCTAACTGGTGTAATCTGTTTTCCTCAAATTTGATGTTTTTGTCACTGCTCTTAGTCAGGGGCGGATCCAGACCGATGCCAGCGATGCGAATGCATCGGTCAAAATTGAGAAATCATGATTCATGTTGCTTGAAATATATAGATATATAATGTCGCCAATAGTCAAAGCACTCAGTAATAAAATATCTCCAATCAACCCGCAAATCTTTGCTTACACTATTTAGGATGAAATCCAATTTAAATAAGTCTCAATAACAGTCGAATTGTCAAAATAAGTCCAATATGCGACGTTGCGATCGCAAATGTGTACTTTCTGTTATTTTGCGACACTTAAGCGTCAATATTTTCGTGACAAAATATGTTATTTTTTACCGCATCCTTTGACGTCACAGTTGAAGCAAAATGCATCACCTACGTCACGTTAGATTCGATTTGGCATCACTGGCATCCATTTTGCATCAGTGAATGCATCGGTCCCGAGTCCTTTTCCGCGTGAAATCTAACGTGACATCATCAAATCTATTGTTTTAGAGCCCTACGTCATGTTAGATTTGGCCGCTGAGCGATGCATCGCATGCAGATTGCGGGCGCTCGCATTGGTCCACTGATGCAAATTGCAAAATCAAATCTACTGTGACGTAACGAGGCATTCGATTCAAGTCATGGCAGCAAGAATATTTGGATATGCAAACACTATATGCAAATGAGACAAATAATACGAAGAGAAATCCCTCGAAATTGACGGATAACAAACAATTTACAGTCGAACCAATTTACTACCAAGCGGAAAAATGGAAGGGATCTTATGCCCACAATGTGAAACTCGATCGAACCGACGGCTCTAAAGTAAGTTAAATTTCTCTATATTTTTACAAATGGTAGTATTAAAATTACTAAATTGTTCAGTTCAAGAAGTGTGTATAAATTAAAGTGGAAAATAGGATCCACAATTAATATAGATTTGTATGTTATAACAAAATAATTACAGTTTGTGTCTATTACTGTTGTTGCTCTATACAGGGTGTATAAAAAAAACTGAACAGATTTGAAATTGCTCTCAATTTCGCAAAACACCCTATTTGTGTCTGGTTTTATATATATATAGCTTCTTTGGGTCTTATAATGTAGAATAATGAAAAAAATTTCTCGAACTCAAATTTTGTGAACCAGGGGGGGGGGTCTTTTCCAACAAATTAAAAATGGCTTGCGCACAAAATTTAAAAGTTGTAATCATATTTTGAGTTAATAGATAGAAAATTTGTTGGGTTTTTAATTACTGTACAAAATTTCAGACAATTTGGTTTAGTTTAAGCCCCTTTAACTATTCATTTTATTCTAAAAAATCAGCCTTTCGCATGCTTAATTAACTGCCTTTACCTAATTTGCATATTGCTGACATATGCAAATTAGGCAAATGCATTAATTAAGCATGCAAATAGCTGAGTTTTAGGAAAAATGTAACTTTGCGTGAATAGTTAAAGGGCTTAAACTAAACCAAATTGTCTGAAATTTTGTACAGTAATTAAAAAACCGACAAATTTTCCATCTATTAACTCAAAGTATGATTATAACTTTTAAATTTTGTGCGCGAGCCATTTTTAATTTGTTGGAAAAGGCACCCCCCCCCCCTGGTTCACAAAATTTGAGTTCGAGAAATTTTTTTCATTACTCTTCATTATAAGTACCCAAAGAAGCTATATATATAAAAAAACGGATACAAATAGGTGTTTTGCAAAATTGAGAGCAATTTCAAATCTGTTCAGTTTTTTTTTATACCCCCTGTATTCTAGAAAGACCAGAAAGATGTTAGTGGTGGGGGGGGGGAGGACAGTTTGACATTTTACAGAGGTTTGCTTGTCTGGAGGCAAACTAGCCCCAATACAAAATTTCACAGCTTGCTTTACTGAGGCAAATTTCATCTCTGTTTACATGGGATTATATCCTGTGCCCAGACCTTCATTTTTCTCACATCTGGCGGGCAAAGAAAAATGAAGCCCTGATACACATGTTATTAAATGTTTGTGTCCTAGCTACAACTGCCTTTACGGTTCATGGTTGTAACTCCGATTGGCTATTTCTGGCATGATAATTGGTTAATGCTATATAAATTAAATAAAGATATATTTAGTGATTGTATAACTATATTTAGCTTGTTGTTATTATGTGAAATTGACATTTCTTCTGGCACATTTTGATTGGATACCAAAAATAAAACTATAGTGTGGGTGGAAAGTAACTCTGAATGGATCAAGACTTGCATCAGTCTCTGTATGTAATTACAGAGCATAATTGCAGGTTAATGAGATTTCTAATAGTAATGCAACACTGGTTACAGTAGAAGACTAAGGGGTAGTTTACATGAAAGGTAATTCTTTCAAGTTGCACCTTCCAGTGGTATCTCCTATTTCATTTCATTTTCATTTTATGTCGAAATGAGCTGGCATGCCTTGTGACAGGGTCTTACTTTGCATTGCCTGAATTATTGGGCAATTACTGTACACTAGCTGGATATTTTGCAAACAAAGATGATAACCTGGGATTGCTCGCCTACCATAGTTGAGTGTTTATATGCTTTGTCTGTGCAAAGATAATTTGATATAAGCTGTATATGTCATATGACATTCTCCTGACAGATTTTAATCTTAGAATCAATCATAAAATGATGGACGGTATAAATACTGTATATACTGTAACTGGTGTATACAGGTTATAATTACGAAATTTGCTCACAAAAGTGGGATAGTTTGGAAAATATATTTTTGGATAGCCAGCATGCCACCCTGAGGATTACGATTACCATTGATAAGTGTATGGATATATTTGACAAGATGTGCATTTATATTAATAACATAGGGAAAATTAAATATTCATCAATACTACTGTGCAGCCTTTCTTAAAGGAGTACTGTATTAATATTAGTTGAAAGGCAGGCAAAAGGGTGACAGATAGAAGACATATGATTAAATTATGTCATGTTTATCATTGTACAGTTTGGTATTGGTTTATTTAACAAACAATTGCCAACTAAGATAACTTCATTAAATTAATTTACACACAGTCTCTATTGATTTAAAACATGTGGTTGTGTGTGTACCTAGTTATATATTTATATAATTTTAAACCCAGTGTTTGTTGTGTGTGTTAGTTTACTGGTTTCCTCGCCACAAGGCAACATTCTCAGTATTCAGAGTGTGGGCTGTTCACCATGCAGTTCATATCACAGGCAGCTAGGGGCAAGTGAAATTGACCAACTGATGCCAACCACACTGTCCATGCAGAGTAAGATTAGCAGCATAATACAGAGTTGCATATATTTACCCAGTAAAGCACAAAATACCTTTATGCACCTTATTTTATTTTACTTTAAATTCTAATGCTAGAAGATTTCATAAACAACATAATAACAATGTCTTCTGAGTCCAGCAATGCAACTAGTGGAGCAAACTGTATACACCTTTGTTACACAGTATCTGTGTATTTGCGTTGTCGTGATTTTCTGCCGAAATGTTTTTCAATAGAAAAGTTAAGGCTACAAGAAGCACAGCACTGACTATTTTTTTAATAGAGACTTATTGCCACTGCTGCTATTACATGTACTTGTACAAGCAATTTTTTTTTCTTATATGGAGAAATTATGTCGTTTTTGCGATATAGGTTCAAGTTTTTACGTGTTTTTCCAAAAATGCAGCAAAATTTTTGTGACTGATATATGAATTGGAAGAAAAGAGTTTGCTCAGAACGCAGGAAATCGCATTTCCGAGGTCCTAGATTTCAAAATTTCCCGGGGGAGGATACCCCCGGACCCCCCTACAAATGCGAGATGCATCAGTGAGCTCATCATATGCATCAGTCAGCTCAGGAGCTGGATCCGCCCCTGCTCTTAGTCTATCAAAAGTCATTGGTTCAATGATGAGGTCTGCAAGTTTTGTAGCTCTTGATAATGCAACATATGTCATACCCACAGCTTTCTTTGAAGGCCCTAAATGAACCCATACATTTTTCAAAATTAGGCCTTGCGTTTATGGATTGTCATTGACCATGCAAGTTTGAGAGGGTACTGCTGACGTTCACATTTTTGTCCATATGTATCAGAGTAACTTGTTACACTAGAGTAACTTGTTACACTTTCACTAACATTTTTGCCATAATGCATGTGTTTTGACATTAGACAGTTATATGAGTTTGAAAGGAGCATTTCTTTTAAGTTATCTAAAGTTAAGTTAGCTTCTGAAGGATTTTGTTTCAAAAAATAACTTTGTTGGCCTAAAATTCATCTGTGATATAAAATGTTATAAGCCCAATCCCAAATCTAGGATGTGCAGCAAATCTATAACCCCACTTATCATTTATCCGTTCTGAAAACTTTAAATATTTTAATTTGCTTACAAATGCATTAGTCAAACTATTTCCAGTATCTAATAAAATAGCGTTGTTGGTTGGATCTCCTTTTCCATCAGGAAAGAGTGTGGGAAAACACGTTGCTAGAAATAGTACAGTGAATTCATTTAGTGGTTCATTCCCCAGGGAGGGAAAGTTTGTTTGTTGTGCACCAAAGATTTGATGAATTAAGGTTCAGTAACATGTGCCAGTGGCTGCACAAATCCTGTTTTAAACATTCATATGTGCCACCGAGTTGCATTGTCAACACTTTTAGAATGAGACAGAACAGATACTAAGCATTTTAAATACAGTCAGTCAGTGCTCAATCAAATTCCCTTTATTAAATGGCTGATGAAATAGAAACAGAAATGGTTGAGAACAATGTAGTGTGCACAACTATTAAATAAATTTTTGTACGCCAGTGCGCCACACCAGTTCATTTCCTCATAATTCTGCGCCAAAATGGAGCAAATTTATAAATTTTCCACGCTGAAGATCAAGAAATTGATCATGAACCTCTTTCTCCGTTTTCCTATTAATATTTGTCGGGAGAAAACTACTCATTTCACTATTTTCATCATAAACTAGGATTATTTGGACCTAAATCAATGCCAACTTCTTGGCCTTCTGCCTGGTCATTTGCTATTTTCTAAGTCAACTGTTTCAGGTAATGAGTCAAGTGCATTGCGATCTATTGCAACATTTTGGTACAAATGATTATTAGGTTTCCCACTTTCATTTAAACCAGTAAGCCAAAATATAGCCTGTGCCAGGCGCGGATCCAGACCGTGGCAAAAGTGGCTCGAGCCACGGTCAGATTTTTCCCACCCAGGATTTTCCGGGGTTCACCTTTGTTGGATACTGCATTAGACTGCATTACACATTTTTAAGAAGTATATATTAGTTATTTGAAATACAGCAAAATTGAGCAAATATAGGTCTATAGCAAACAATTTGAATAATATCTTTTGTAATTGTTCTCATATTACAGTAATATGTGCTAAAAGCAGGAAAAACTTCCAAAATATATTCCTTGTTCAATAGTATAATTATCCAGTTAAACACTGAACTATAAAAACCGCCGAAAGCGTGCCGAATTGTGCCGAATATGTTCGGAAAACAGTCGTAAATTCGAAGCTGCTATCACAGCCACAAGATGCCACGGTCAGCGTGCAAAAAATTGCGCAATTGTTACTAAATATAGTAACTTTCTGCCATGGTGCAGCGTTGCAAACCAATCACAGGGCAAGTTGTGGTCATGTACGCCACGGTTCGCCATGGTGGCTCTATTTTGATTGTGCAATACAAATGATCAACAATAAAGTTCGATACTTGTCGACTTGACGGGATAAAGAATAATACATCACAAGCTACATGGATGCTATCAAGATGGAAGATTTTAAAAAAAGTCGATGTTCTTACCAAGCTCGTCGAAATCTTTCAACAAGCAAACCTAAGCGAACATATTTCAGTGGAATTATCGCTCTTGAGGCAACAATATGATGAATTTATCACTGAAGAAAGGCTGCGCCGTATAAAATCTACTGGCGACATCATGCTGCCAACGTGTGAATTTTCAAAACTGCAGTTCTCCAAGAGCCAAACTGAAAGATCTGCATAGACGGATTTTGTGCGGGGGTGCAGGGGGGTGCTACCCCCCCAATATTAGCTATAACCCCCCCAAACAAAATTTCCACCCCTCCAAAAAAATTTTCAACCCCCCCCCAATATTCGGCATAATAAAAAATAATTAAATAATCCACTCCAACGTGCTGAGTGTTGATGATACAAAATAAACGTAGGAGTACACTCAAATAGAAAGCAATATTATTGGAGCAATTGTAAAGTTTTGAAACTCTATTATCTCCCCTGAATAGAGTTTGCAGTGCCTTGTCATGCAAATAGCTTGCTTGCAAGGAACGTTTGGAATTTTAACAAACATTATTTTTCGTTTTTAATTCTTTTAGGTTTGTAATTCGTTTTTAATTCTTTTTAATTTTTTAATTCGTTTATAAAAGTAAAAGCATATTGTGTATTGGCCTATTGGGTTTACACTTTTACAGGTTCATTTAACTTTAACTCTCTCAAGTCTCAACAGACAATCGGACACAGGGCCGTAGCGAGGGGGTGTTGGGGGGGGGGGTGGTTAACCCAATTTTGTAGAATTAACATATTTGGAAAATCGGGTTGGCCATTCGGAAAATTACGGCAATAATAGTATAACAAAATTTTAATTGTTTAATTAAACAGAAAAAATATTATAATATTATAATCAGTATAAAATGATTTACGAAATCACGGCATTTACATGGATAACGTTTAACAAATCGTAAATCGGTAATTTTTTTTCGGTTTCAGTACTTCTCAGGGCCGTAGCAACCGGGGGGGAGGCAGCACCCTTACAATAATTTGCTGATAATCAGTCTTTTTTCAAAATCATGCACACCTTTATCATTTAAACAATTGATTAATTTTAAGCGGCTACATTATCCATGACAAACCGCAAAGAATTATATTACCCATACTCTTTCCTGCAGCTTCTCCAAAATATAGCTAAATACGACTTCGCCCATTTAATTCTGCTAAATTGTAAGCAAATTGTAAATTTCGACATACTAAAACTCTATTAACAACTCAAACCGACTTTACCACGTAGCTCAGTTGGCAGAGCATTGGACTAGCATCCCAAAGGTCGCGGGTTTTATTTCCACCGTGGGCAAGCTAACTTTTCAGCTTGCCCGGTGTGGATCAGTGGATGCATACTCAGAGTAACATCACAAACATCATATTCACTTGAGTACACAACACCAACACACACACATAAATCATATCAAAGATTACACTGATGTCGAAGGAACTAGATTCAGTTCCGAAATATCAACAAGTCGAACCGACTTGACCACGTAGCTCAGGTGGGAGAGCATTGGACTAGTATTCCAAAGCTCGCAGGTTCGACTCCCACCGTGGCCAGGCACACTTTTCAGCTTGCCCACTGTGGATGCATACTCAGAGTAACATCACAAATATCATATTAAAACTCTGTTTTCTGACCATCAGAATTCTGTCAAAACTTCCCCCAAAGTCCAGGAAATGGCATTTCAGAGAATCTAAATTTAAAAATTTCCTCGGGCCTTTGGCCCTCGTTCCCAGCCCCCAATCAAAAAGAGCTTCCTACGGCACTGCATGCTTCGTATGCCATGAAATATTCGGAAATTTTTTTCGTCATTCGGAAATATTTGGCCTACACCCCCCCCCCCCAACTATACATGCTAGCTACGGCCCTGATCGGACAGGCCAAATCCATTGATATGACAACTTCAAAAAACGTTTTTTCGAAGCTAGAAATCGTGATTTTTTTCAAATTTTTCCAGGGATACTTTGTTTTCTGCTCTCTAGACTCCCCCTCGCGGCTCTAGTGCTCCACCCCTAGAATATAGACCTTACTGGGGTTTGGTGACACTTTGTGTTGCTTCAGTCACCTGCTCATGGCTCACCCCCCTAAAATTTCTGGCACCACCCCAGTAAAAAATATGAAAATCCGTCTATGAAGATCTGGGCCTAATGTTCCTGTTAGGTAAGAATTTTTAATGGACTTATATTAAATTTGCATTTATGCTGGGGTCAGGGAATAATTTGTGTATGTAAACTTTTGTTAGTGAAATAGTAATACGATCTCGAACACATGGCGGTTGTCAATATAAAAATATAAATTGCATTTATCCGCTATGTAGTCGTGAAATATTAGTAAAAACTCTGTTTAAAACTGTTATCAGTGTTTGCTACAGTTTACGGCTACAACATTTGATTGTCGACTGTAAAATGAAATGTTTACTTCAGTATTGGGTCTATATAGTCGTCTATTTGGTTTCACCAAGCTTTAAATATAGTCGGTTGTTCTAAGCTAAGGCTAATCCTTGGTTAAAATTTAACCTAGTGTTTTTGTTTGTGTGTTTCTGCATGCCTGTTTACTTCGAAGCTTTGAAGAAAACTTTCATTCATCCAGACAAGATTTCTGAAGAAATATTTCTAAATTGCTCGTGTGATATTACTCTGAGTGTATATATCCACACCAGGCAGGGTTGAAAAATATGCCTGGCCATGGTGGGATTGGAACCTACGACCTTTGGAATACTAGCCCAATGCTCTGCCAACTGAGCTATGCAGTCAGATCGGTTCGAGTATGCAATACTTTGGAACTGAGTCTAGTTCCTTCGATACCAGTGTAATCTAATAATCATGATATTTGTTGTGTTGGACTGTTGGTGTAATGTACTCAGGTGAATAAGATGCTTGTGTGATGTTACTCTGAGTGTATATCCACACCGGGCAGGCTTGAAAAATATGCCTGGCCACAGTGGGATTCGAACCTACAACCTTTGGAATACTAGCCCAATGCTCTGCCAAAGAATACTAGCCCAATGCTCTCCCAATGCCTTGGCCAAAGGTCATAGGTTCGAATCCCACCGTGGCCAGGCATATTTTTCAAGCATGCCCGGTGTGGATATACAGTCAAAGTAACATCACACAATATGGATTCTTGCACTCCATTGGTGGAATTAATATTAGAATGTTAGGGTTAGTAATCCACGTGAGAATATATACATTTTAAGACCTAACCAGGAACGACTGTGAAAAATGCAGCACAAGGTCCTCTGGTAGGAATCGCAGGGCCGTAGGTTCATTTCCTACCAGAGGACCTTGTGCTGCATTTTGTGCAGTCGTTCCTGGTTAGGTCTTAAAATGTATATATTCTGACTTGGATTACTACAGGTGTAACCCTAACATAATTTTCTAATAACATCACACAAGCATCTTATTCACCAGGGTACATTACACCAACACAGCAAATATTTTTAACGACTGACCCCTGGAGGTTGACTTCCTCACAGGTGTTTGTTGTGCATGAATATTGATGTTGTTGTGGATAATGTCATCCTGATCCTAATCCTGACATTAAAATCTAATCCCGAATCTAAAACTGCAACAAAATCCCATGAGTTAGTCAAGGCCAGCTGTGAATTTGATTTCATCATGATGTTACTCAAATTACACAAAGACATTGTAGGGGGCCTCATTGTTAAAATAATTATGATTATGGCTCAATTTGCATATTAATGATCCCAAAATTTAATCTCCAGTCCTTACCTTAAAACCAACTCTAGTTCTATTGGTTACCCTGACTAATTCTAGTAATTATCCTTTCAGCACAAAGTTATATGGAAGGTGACCCATGATTATACAAGCAAAAGGAGGGAAAACATTTGGGAAAACAAATGGTTCCTTGCTATTTCTCAAATGGCAAGGCATAATATTTGTTCTCCAGATAATTTGAGCAAAGTTTGCAAAGTATAATCACATAATTACTGTGTGGTGTAAAGAAGTTGACATTCTGGTTAACAGTTTCAATTGAATATTTACAAAATAATATAAAATAACCATTGATACTTAAATGCTTAAATTCTTTCAGTACTTCATTGTCTCTTTAATGCATGTTTTATTGCGTTAATCGGGAATGAGAGTTTGTCTGCTCACTTGAGATGCCTCACCAGTATTGAACTGTTTGAGAATGCCAAATACTATGCTAACCACTCCTTCATTGAGTCCCAGCATAAAAACGTAATAGCATTCACTACACTTAAAAATGCCTTTGCCATGTGTGTATCTGATGCAGCTCTTACTTTTTTCGAGAATTGTAATGAAATGCAGCAGTTTTAGAAGAAGCAAAGGAAGCTGCAAAAAATTACACATTCTCATCCATGGTGTGCATGTTTGCCTTGTCCACAGTAATTCAGTGTGCCATTCAGTCATTCTACCCACTCACCAATGATACTGTAGCGAAAGAAAATTGGGATTCCTTGGATTCAATTGTACAATACAGTATATCCACGGGATTATCTTGATGGCAGTGCAATTGAATATGTCCATATCTTTCATTGTGCTGCGATGCCACCGTCTTATTTTGTTGATCGAAGAATTCTATCTACCAAAAATCATTTTGTTACCTTGTGCAAACCAGTTAAAGCACTTCAGCCACGAGACCATTATTTTAAAGCACACCTTCCAACCTTATTGAAGTCTGCGATGCCAGTTCATCCTAAAGTTCCTCCTAAAGTTTCTACTAAAGTTTTTTCTGCTCCTTCCTCTACACAAGTGACTACATTTACTAAAAAGCAGACGACTGGTCCAAAAAGAAAACAAATTAGCTTAGATCGATGCGCTTCTTGTGAAACGAGCGTGCAACACACAAGAAACTGTAGACAGTGAAATCAAATTTCCCAGCACTAGTAAAGGAATTTCATCTGTAACTCCCAACACTGGTCCTACTTCAGAAAAATATAACACCAAAACACAACGAACTTCCACCAATTCGTGGCCAGATGATATCTAAACTACGTAAATCTGGTGACCAGTCTTCCTGATTCAAAAAAGTACGAAATTCTGTGCAATCATTGCCATTGGAAACCTGGTTCTGACACGAAAATATTGGTAGACGTTTCCGGTTGGCATGGTTATCACGATTTCCATGGTTGGCTTACTCTGCTGTGGCAAACGGTGGTTTTTGCGTCACTTGTGTTCTTTTTGGCAGTGAAAGCACGCATAATGCAAGCGAGCTCCAACGGTTGATGACCAGTGCTCTTCCTCCAAGTGCTTCTGCTGTCCAGAAACTATGTCAGCATGGTGAAAAATCCAATGTTCACGCAACGGTAACTCTCCGTGCTACACAGTTGAAGCGAATGATCGAGAATAAGACACTCGGTATCGATGTGCAGCTGGAAAAAAACCACCCCGTAAAAGACCTACGTTGCAACTGAAACGCCAAGATGATTGAGTTCGATGTACAGCCCTAATTGGATATTTTTTGCTACGAAGAACCTGAAATACACAGGAACAGTACATGCGGTACAGAATTGTGGTTTTATGTAAGTACAGTGATTTTGTAACATTCTAATGTTGTAACGTTCGCTGAAGAAAATGGTATGTTGTTTAAATATTTGACTTATTTAGTGCATTTCGTTATTTGCTGTCTAAAATATGGCGTAATTAATGACAAATTATATGATAGAATTCGATGCTCAGAACTCAGGAAATGGCATTTCCGGGGTTCAAATTTCAAAAATTTTCTGGGTTCAAATTTCAAAAATTTCCCCCGGCCCCCCCTAATTATGCGCGGTTTTGGAGTGCGCCACGGTCAGGGTTTAGGCTGGATCTGCGCCTGTGTGCAACCTTTTCTCTATGTACTATAAAATCTTTAGAGTTGTTATTCTTTCCTGCTACAGTAAAAACTATGACTGGAAGATCCTTTGGGCAGCTTGGTAATACATCAGCAAGTTGTTACACATCTTGAGGTAATGTTATCACATGACCTTTGTACGCTTTTTGACCACCCCTTGGTTTTGTATATACATGCATGACTGAAAATGCCCTAGCAATTAACATTTCTTCAAACTGAGTTAAACCTTGCAATTGTTTTGGAACTGGTGATGGTGTCATTGAGTTCTCAATTGAAAACTTTTTTGGACTATTTTTATCACAGGAACACCTGGCACAAACATACTTAGACAACTCTTTTGCTCTTGTTTTCAAAGGCCAAGCTTCACGACACACAGTACATTGATATATACACAACTGCATTGCCTTCATGTTTTCTGTACAGGATTTTTGATCATGCACTTTCATGTCATTGAGGGCGGGAAAGGGTATTTTTGTGAGCTGTGAATCGTCAATATTTATTCGTGTGAAATGCTTGTTCTACAGCCATGAGGTGTGATTCTTGATAAAAATGCTCCGTGAAATGAGAATTAAGGATGTCTGTTTCATGAACTGCGATTCTGCTTGGTTTATTTAGATCTATTTTATAATAGTCATAGTAGACATGTACACGATAATCAATTTATATGGACCTATGTGATCTCACTCGATTTGCACAAGAGTAAAAACTTTGGAGGCCTTTCGGAGGTCATTGGACATACTCGTCACTCAAACTTCTAAGTTACGATGTAGTTTTTAGTTTTTAACTGACAGGTAGAGAAGTGAAAGAACTTTATAAAGCGTAAATATTGTACGAAGTATTAAACATACTCTTAATAAACCTATTATTAGTATATTATTTTATTAGAATCTAGTTTTCCATGAAATTGTTTTTTTAAGACACGTGAATCGTGAAACGGCTATTTTTTTCATTGTGAAACAGGATCCATACCCCCACCCCCTTCCCCACCCAACTTCATTGTTTTACTGTTTTTGTACAGGATTTTTGATCATGCACTTTCATGTCATGGTGTAACTTCATTGTTTTACTGTTTTCTGTACAGGATTTTTGATCATGCACTTTCATGTCATTGTCTAACTTAATTGTTTTACTGTTTTCTGTACAGGATTTTTGATAATGCACTTTCATGTCATGGTGTAACTTCATTGTTTTACTGTTTTCTGTACAGGATTTTTGATCATGCACTTTCATGTCATTGTCTAACTTAATTGTTTTACTGTTTTCTGTACAGGATTTTTGATAATGCACTTTCATGCCATTGTCTAACTTCATGGTTTTACTATTTTCTGTACAAAATTTTTGATCATGCACTTTCATGTCATTGTCTAAGTGCATTGTTTTATGACTTTTTTCACATTTTCTGCACAGGGTTTTTGTTCATGAACTTTAATATCATTGCCTAACTCAACTTTTGATTGTTTTTGTGGATAGCATGAAATATCATCATGATTTTGTTTCCTCTTTAAAGTAGGACTTAGTATTGTATCACTTTGTAAATTGCAATAAGGTCTGCTGGGATTAATGTTGTTTTCATCACTTAGTTGACAAATAGTGAAAAACCATCCAACTGGGAAACATTGCTTTAGCCGATGCAACGAAGTAAACTCTTGCACCGTACTACACATGTCATCAAAGTAGATCCATTTATCTTTGATAACATCGCACTAAACCTTGTAATGTTTAGAAACTATTATTAAATTCAGCTTGCTCATGCATGGTTACACAATTCATTATTTTATTTGAAAACTCAATAAACACAAATTTTTAATTGACAGCAGATGTACAAATAGGATCAGACACAGACAATGGCCAACATGCAATATCAAAACCAGTCTGTTTCAAAAGAAGCATTGGATACATGCATCAAGAAAACCTTCATATTGGAAGTGACTGTTTCCTGACATCAGTGACATGTCTGCAGACCTGCCAAGTCTCACGATTTAATCGTGAGACTCGCGATTTTTGATGCTTTCTCACTATCTCACAATTAAGTCCCCAAGTCTCACGATTTTTGGCAAAATCTCTGCTAAAACCACAAGTGATTCCAAACACCTGTGGAAAAAAGAAATATGCTATTATTTCGTGAGACTTGACACGCTACTGAAGTAAGTTACTGAAGCCATAAAGATTAAGAAAAAACAGCCTATTTTTAATAAGCCTTGCATTACGGTTATATTAACAAATTAACAAAATATAAATGCATACTATCCTAAGATTGAATATCTATTGATTATTCTCTAGTGTTGTTAAAGTTAAACCTGGTCATATTAATGAGCAAACCTGAAAAGTCCCACGATTTTTCAGCCAGTCTCACGACTTTTTAGATAGCAACTCACTATTTTTGCTACTCAAGGGGTGGCAGTCTGTGTCTGGCAATGAGATTCAAATGTTCTCTGATGGACAGATGAAGATAATTATATTATTAAATATATAGAGAATAATACATGGAACATGGGCATGTGGAAATATCACTATATAAAGCACTATAGTTTATATAATAAAGATATATAATTATGTTGTTATGAACTGATTTTAAAAGTATAGATCATTCCGCATTGAAATAATGATGACAAGATTTACTGAAAGGACATGTCGATCACAATTCGACGTACATTATATTAATGTTCAAACATTATTGTATCAGGACAAAATTCCATTCGCATTACACGTTGCATGAAACAAATTTGGTAGAATTTGCATGAATATATGAACAGAACTGTCAACTAAAGAATAAAAGAATGATGCAATAGATATACAACCTAACTCAAATGCAACTCAATGTCATAAATCTTTCACTCCTTTCAGGCTAAATTAAGCCATAATTAACTGAAGGCAAAGCGCCGAGTAAGCTATAACTAGTAACAAAATTTTCGTCAGTGACAGTGCGGTTTCGTTTAAGATATACAAAAGTTTAACGCATTCATTTCAGTCGCGTTAATGATATTAATAGCTAGTTACGGCCTGCAGATGATGGTCAAATTCAGAGATGTGAACAACTTAACATCGTTTTCTCACTTTGATACATAATTGCTGGTTGACCACCTACTGCAGGTATTTCTTAGGGACCTCACTGGGGGAGGGGGGCAAAATTGCCGACTGGAGGGACCAGTAAGAGGGCTGGGGGGGGGACATGTCCTCCCCAGTCTATATGTTAAGAGAGGCCCTGAATTAAATACAGAAAGTTCTTTCTTTGCGTGAACTTCCCATGCATACTGCATTATTCAGTAACTTTCTCATAATTAAGAGACCTTTAGTTTGACATTTACAGCTAACTCCAAACTGCTAATGATGATTGTGATTTAACTACGCTCTTGTAGAAGTTACACTAATTTTGTTACATAATAAACATCCTACACACAGCTCGTGACATTTAGCAATGATTATCAGAAAATTAGTTAGCCACTACTAACGTATTAGCCAAGACAGTAAATTCAGCTTTTAAGTTTGAGGTTAACATTTGCGGTATAAATTTTACACCTGGATCCTGATACGTTTTATTTCTATTTTTATAATATGAATTTTAATACACATGTCCTAGAAAAAATTTCTGCATATTTTTACATGGCCCACCCTTATGATTGCATGTAACTTTCGATGACCCATCCCTTCAACCATGCTTAAAAATGTGACCCACCCCCTATTTTTCCCAGCCCACCCCCTTTTACTTTATGACGAGTCCCTAATATAGGGCAGTATCTATTGTAGTTGTGTCCTCATTAGTATTATTTATATAAAGAATACTAATAAGGCAGTATATCTATTGAATTTGTAGTCGTGTTTGAAGCTGTTTAATAAACTTGCAGGTCGTGTTTTATTAGGTCTAAAGCCACTCGCGCTGCTCGTTTATTAAACAGTACTTTGTACTTTTCATGTGATGTTACTGTACATACATAGATATGTATGGTTAACCTTATGATTAAAAATTTATGATACATGTGACATTACTTCCTGCTTTTGTTATTGGTTTTCATTGTTTAATTTAATGGGCATATGATAGCTTCAAAGGCTTCAGATTCAAGTGACACAAGTAAGGATAGCAAAAACTATAGTCAACTTGAAGAAGACAAAGATGCGGGTTTTACATGAGTTTAATAACCCCAATTATGGCAATAACTTGTCATTTACCCGATCTACGAAAAAAATTGTAAATGTTTTCGGAACACAGTTTGTCAAAACTACTATTCCGAAATCTAAACATGTTATATTTTACTGATCAGATTTTCTGTATAAAGGCCTTTAAAATATATGCAGGGTTTTCAACTTGTAGTTTTAATAAATTGTGTTCTGAAAACATCTCAACACTTTCCGCAGATTGGGTTTATTAAGAATGCCTATTTTCGGTACATGTATGAAGACATACAATACAACATATTGCAATTTTTTGTTGTGTGATTACTTATTTTTGCTTTTGATATTGGAAGAATTGGACTCTGTGGTTTGTGCTCTTCAGCAAGAAATAGAATGTGGTAATCTGAGACCTGACCACATATTTTACAAGGTTTTAGCAAATGCATTAGAATTTTCGGCCAAGTCGGATGATCCCAGACAACAATTCAAGCACGATGAGACTGTTCTGTGTTAAGCTGAAACTCTAGAATTCTATGGCAAGGACAAGGTCATGAATCTGTTAAGAGGTCCTGGGTCTGTGGCCAAGGAAAAGGTGGCAAATTTAACTTTCAGCGGAAAGACTGGAATGTACCATTCGTTCCTAGAAAATCTACAAGACAGAAGATAAATCTGGCTATACAACCAAAAGTGGAGTAGTGAAAAGCTTGCTAACATCTTTTCTTCTAATGGAAGACTTAGTAGAAAGTGATGTAACACCACTTATTGAACACTTACTCGTGAAAGTCATACCAGTATGCCCCGATGGAATGAGTCGATCGCAAGCTATCACTTCCGGTAGGTGTTGATTATGCTGGGAAGAGCAGCAATGGTGAAGAAGTAGCTGGTTGCATTCAAAGCCGGGTTCGCCAGTTACAAATCTCTTTACGATTTTTGCAGATCCTAACTGAAACTGAGAGAAACATTGTAACTCTGATGGGACTCTTTGTGCAAGTAATTGTAATGGTAAGTAGAGTAGATATAATGCCATTGAAGGCCATTAAGTGATGACAAAAATAGAAATGTTTAGAAGGATATGAGTAGCTAATGGGCTAATAATCCAAAATGACCTATTGTTCTCATTATTCATATAATTTAGTTAAACACACTTATTCTTAGAAGTTCTTTTAATTGTGTTATTGTTTTAGAATGAGAGTGTTTGTGTTGGCATATAGCAAGAATCAAGAGAGCCATATGGGTTGGCATATATTGGTGACTCAAGCCCAAATGGTGGAATTCTGAAAGTAAGCCTCGAGAGTTGTGAAGTTACTGTCTGTAGTATGCAATGGCCCTGTCAATTGTAACACTGTTCATGGAATTGCCATGAATAATGATGGCAAGATATATTTCACTGACGGAGAAAGCAGGAAGTTGGCAGAAATTCTCAATAACGAAGTTACTGTAATCGCAGGATGCGAAAGTGATGGATCAAACTCAAGCTCTTGCGCTTTGTTCTCTCAACCCACCACCCTTTGTGTCAAAGAAAACACTCTATATGTAGCAGATACCTTGGTTATAGCGATTCAAACGGTTACCCCATGTGAAGAAATGTGCAAATCCTTGAAGGAATTCAATGCATTATATCAAGTGTTTGGTGTGCACTTGAAAAAGAAGAAAGCAGAATGGTACTTGTTGGAAGAACCAATACCTCCACTCGAACGTCTGTACGACTTTTGCACCTCGTGGATCGAGGACGTTCAGCAATGTATGCGAAAGGAGTGTGTCACCCAAGGACCAGAAGGAACTGTGTCAAGGAAAAGTGTTCACAGTTTGGAGCTAATGATTTTGTCACTGAAGAGAATTCAGGAATCATCAACAAACTGCCTGTGGATTTCACTATTACACTGCTGATGCATCCAACTACACAGTCCCCAATGACATGCCACTCACTTTTACCAATTTGCCCTCCATACCAAAACTGTCGACCATCAGTCTAGAGATGATCAAAAGGCTCTTTGGAACGGCAACATGCTTTTGGCCAACCAGTATGCCAGGTCACTGACAGAAACCAGTCTACAAAAGATAACTTTGGGACACTTCCCATCTATGCCTACCAGAAATTGCGTAGTACTCCCATCTCCTCTCGCATTTGAAATTTCATGTTCCGCATCAACCAGTGCCACCAGTGGTAGCCGTAGTACAATCAACGACTCCACTACAAATGCAGATAACTTTGAGGATACTACTCCCTGCAGACGCAACTGTTCATCATTCATTTGCGAAATCAGTAGTGCCACATTTTTTCTTGGAAAAGTGAAGCAACAAGTCGAGGATGTTGTACAACCACATTGCCAATGCATCTGTCAAAATCTACACGCCAAGCTTTGAAGATTGCCTCACATTTTTGGTACATTCAACTTTGAGTGTGCACAAAGATGGCATTGCAATGATGGTTGATCATGTGCAATGTAGCAGTGACAAATTACAATTGACCGACAATGTTTATACATCAATAACAAATTACCTTAAAGACTCTCAAGATTTGAGTCCTGAAGGAAAAAATAATAACAGAGACAGTGATTTGGATGAATCAGACTCGGAAAATGTTTGCGAGGACACAACTCCACTGTTTACATCTTCCGGTCGAAGAAGCAGAAGACCTGATCGTCTTGATTTGTAATAACCACCAGGATAGCGATTTTTTTCAAGCTTCTGAAAATTGCCCGCTGATTGGTATTATCCAGATTAAACTTTTTAGCATCTATAAGTTTCTTTTTATTAATTATGAGGTATGACATGAGTAGTTTTATGGCTTTTTGAACATTTTACAATGGTGGAAAGAATCACTAACCTGTGGATAGCAGTATCAGCCTTAGTGCAACTGGAACCTGACTGTTTTGCTTGAGCATAAAAAGACTATGTTTTTTGGATAGCCGTATGCATTGTTGTAACGAAAATCGATGGTAAACGTAACGGGGCGCCCGTAATGATCTTGGGTGAAATACGACAATTACTTGTACATGCCAGCTTGCATGGACCGCTGTGGCGGGGGCGAAACTGTGAAAATAAAGGTCGAATGATGAGCGAAGCAACAACAGCTTTAATTTTGAAAGCAAAGTATTGTAACAGATCTTTTCGTACTGATTATAGTCAAAGTTTGGTTACAAAAAACATATTTTAATAATGAGTTAATTGGTGCATTCAGAAAAAGAAAAATTTTTCGTGGCAACTTCCCTACTGTACAATGTTGTTGCCCCATCTTTCAAAATTTACGTTAAACACATCTTTATACTTCGTAAATTATCTCTTATATTCTATATAACGAGATAAAGTATTTTTGTATTGTATCCCCGAATATTTTGGGCTGTATTATTGATAGTAATTTATCACAATGCAGTATCAATGAGCTCCATATGTAACTGAAGTGATATCTCGTGCTCATTCACCGTGCAAAGACTGAAGATAAACACTGCGGACATGTGGGCTCTAAAGTATGTGTATCCTACGACGTTTTTGACAGGATCAGAACTTGACCAGACCGCGCAGAAGATTGGGACTATATGTACTTCAAGAACAAAAGGATTGCGGGCTCTAGGAATATATGGAGCTCACTGTGCAGTATAAGCTATTTAAACCTTTTTGTTATGTGCATTTGTGGTCAATTTTAAATATTGAACAATGCATTTTTTTATATTTTCTTATGGCTATAGCAAGGTGAGTAAGTGTGGAGGGACTTACAGTCCAATTTAAAAGTAAATATATATATTTATATAGTATATTGTTTTTTCTAGTTAAAATTATTATACAAAATACATTTATGATAAAATAATATATTATTCCAAATCGGCACAGAAATTTATAGACTTTAACACTTTATTATTTTTAGTTTGATTTAACAAATTCCTATGGCCATGCATACATGTAAAGTTGTTTTAATCTCTATATCTTAGCTATTATAAGGTAACAATTCTTTATTCAACTTGGTCAATGCCTTTTATATAACACTATAGTCAGGCCTACTTTGGGGGCCAAGGTCGCCGTTATTATGTGCAACATTGTGCAACATTAGGCGACATTGGCAATTTTCAAAGAAAAGTAGTGTGCGTCACTGGGCGACATTAGGCAAAACTGAACAGCAATATCCAGATAATGTCAAATATTATAATTCACAAATTATGCATCTACATAGAAAATACAACAGTAAATATCAAAATATAATTTAGTTATCAAAAATTGGTTCCTGTGGCAAAGAACACAATTAGTTTATTACAAATAGTTTGCAAAAATAACAAGGAACATTTCTCTAACTGCTAGCCTGACAATTTACTCAAAGTTTATACTGTAGCACACATACATGCCCAGTGCATGGTACATTTACAGTATCATGGCACTCTGACTTCTTAATAAATTGACTGGTGTAAACACCTCATAGAGTTTTAAAACCTGTTTATGGACTGTGGTATGCAGTGATGGAAGTGAAAGAATTGGTATTTAAGGTAAATAAATTGTCAGCTAGCTAGCTATCATAAACGTATACCATGTAAATCATGTACCACCATGCTTGAAATCTAACCCACCAAACTGGCAAACAAATATCTCAAATAGTGATAACTATAAATCTTATAGTTTCAATAAAAAATAGAACTTACTTTCAAAGCAAACAGATAGAAAAAAGTTTAATCCATATACATTTGTATAACTATACTTACTTTACTAAAATTAGATGACAGTTCCTTTACTTTAACTGAACTAATAAAACAATTAAATTCCTTTATATCCAAAACCTGTTCTACTTCTTCCTCATTTTTATTTGGAATCCAACCAATTTGCTGAAGGCCATCGTCAGAGAACTGGAAGAATACACCAATGCCATTTACTTGCAGCTCTGGTATGGGTACAGCTTTGACAATTACGGGCAGTGAAGATCTTCGGTAGATAGGTTAAAACCATAACCATCATCATGTTTCACCCAATCAACCACTTTTGTTGTGTACGGCAGTTTCAATGTTCCACTCAATTCTAACTCATAATCTGCAGGATATCAAATAATAATTCAATCAGTTAAACTCCTCAGAGTTCCTGCTGAAAGAAATATAATTTGTGTTTTTTATTTTCTTTTTTACATCTTTGTTTTGGATGCCATCTTGGAAAAATAACCCTCATTGTTCCACAGACGTCCCTATTTAACCTATCTTATCTTAGAATAAAATGCCTAAATAAATCAACATTATCAAGGCCTATCAATATGGAGATCTTTTTAAGTTACGCTTTTTAAAAGGGGGAGAATAGTCACTTTGAGTGTTGAATGTGGAATGTTGTAGTGTACACAACTAGATAAATTTTTGTATGCCAGTGCGCCACACATGTTCATTTTCCCATAATTCTGCTCCAAAATGGAGCAAATTTATGAATTTTCGACACCGAAGATCTTCGGCACAACCTACAAACTTTCCACCCTGGGCAAGGTGCTAATAAATTTGCTTGCTTAAATGTAAGCCAATAAGCTTGTGTTTTAACCAATCATATTAACTTTAAATGTTAGTTGAGAGGCTTTCAACAGTTGCAAACTTTTGATTAGTATAGTTTTCTTGTAGTTACAGTATAAATTATAAAGTTAATATGTTCAAGTGTACTGTGTACATTGTGGTGTTTGGTATTGTTTTTTTATTAGTAAGTAAATAAATAACAAAATAACGATAAAAGTACCCTGTTTGATTTATTTCCAGTAAGAATCAGATATAAATTAATAAATAGAAACAAGAATTGAATTCACAAAAGTTTATATTTGTTAATATAAAAAAATGCTTAAAAAAACTATTAATGTAATGGTTTAGCTTCTAACTTGTACTACTTCGTGTAAGGAAACATAATAATTGATTACCTGTACTGTAGATCTTTCTGTGGTGCATTCATTGCTCTGTATCTTTTGCGATACCTAATTACGAGATGTTGATCATCATAGCTTCGTCGAAAAGTAAGTAATTTTATTTTACAAATTACAAAGTCGTATTTTGAACATACGATATAGACAGGGACGCTGGCAGATTTTTGTGAAAGGGCACTTTTGAATTGATATATACTAAGAGATGTTTGCAAAACATCAGGAGTTGAACTTCGCCTAATCATCTTTTCTATTTATTGGATGATAGGGCTGTGAGGGGGTTCTCCGCCAGGTGATTGTGCTATTCTTGAAGCTCCAAGTATTCAATCTATTTCTGGTTGGATTAAATAATTAAGAAACTTTTTAACATCAACTAGTAAATTTGATTGCATTTCCGGGGCTCTGCGAGGTCTCAGATTTCAAAATTTCCTGGGGGAGCATGCCCCAGACCCCCTAACAAACAAACTCACATCTTTGGCGTTCGCTACAGCCCCCTTAATCCAAAAATGGCTTTGCAGTCCCTGAATTTAGTTGACCTCCACCGGAAATTTTACAAGCACCCATGGCTAGCATGTGGTTGGTGCAAGCTCATTTGTCAGTTGGTTGAAATGAACTCACACCCCCTGTGAAGAATTTCCTGTGGACAGCCCTGTTTGACAGCCATGACAAAGGTCATATTAATAATGCAAGACTTACCTGTTTTAATACAGCAGTAAATATTGCTGTTGTACTGCAAACTTGTTCAGTTGGAAGCTGCTTTGTACTTTGAATCAGTATTCCTAACTAAATGATCCAACACTTGAATATGATCTTGGCCTCCATTGACGAGTCTGGCATTGACAGCGGCAGTCATTGCACAGTTGCACTCATTATGATGCAAAACTTCAGTTTCCTTTGTGATTCAGGGCTAAAAACTTCAAATTTACTTCTTGAAGTATTCATGTTATATATTCCTTTCCCGAAACAAGGTTTGTTTCGGTCCAAGAGAAGAAAATAAGCATTTTAAATTGAAAACTATATATTCTGTAATAGAAATATATAGTATTCATTCCTCAAGTGGGGCATCCGTCAGCTCACTTCCGGAGCTATCCAGTCTTAGTTAGGGACCGTACGCATGCAGGAATCTGGTATTGGAATTCACAAATTTTACATGCAAAATAGCACATGTTTAATGAGTGATAACTTAACAAATAAAACATATTTAGTGATATAATATATTCGGTGTTTGCAAATGAAGGAAAGATCTAAAAATGGATGTAATTTTGAAGGTTAAAGTTTTCGAATTTTCGCAACTTGTGGCGCCATTAAATAATGTGGCACCGGATTCTGTCGTCAACACGTCGTCTTCAACCGTAAATCCGGAGTGAGCTCTGGGGTAATATAGAATAATGGTATGAGAAGACAGCTCATGACCTCAGCTATCCAACGATGTCCTATTCTTTTGAGTTTTCAACACGGAAGGATTATCGTATGCGAAATTCAACTTTCAATTGTGATTTTAAACTGTTTCTGGTGTGTGATGTCAGAAGAATCAGATACAGTTGAAATCTTTGCAATTTTAGATTTTATTTGCTATAATAATTGTAGTATAAAGAAGTGGAGCTCAGCCCGGATTTTTATTTAAACTTAGGCATTTGGAACAATTTTTTCGGCACCACTGGAAGCCTTGTGGTGTGGTAATGGACCATTTGCATTATAGACTAAATTTGATCTAGACAAAAATTTCATCACAGCTTGAAAGAGCATCACAAAATTAGCAATATTCCAAAGTTTCATTGCAAAATGTTGTAAAATGCGGA